TTTTTTTTTACAATCAAGATAACACACATACGGATAATAATAAATAGAAACAAGACACACATGCGAACAAACAGAAAATACTGTCAATCAGGTTTTTATTCATACAAAACCGAACATTTTGGTTTTTATCGCATATTGAAGTTTTAATTTTAAGATATTTTTTGATGAATATAATGGAACATATAAACGACTAATACATGTATTTGCTGTTGGCAAATGTTGATCATCAGCCGGACGTATTGTCACTGATGGTTGTGGTTGAAAACCAGCTTCCGATGCGGGTAAAGCTGGACTACCAGTCCAAAAGTAGACCTTTAAATAAATAAATAAAAATTCAATTTCTTTTTTTTTTTCGTCTTACTAAATCTTGTCTTTCTACTGCATTGAATTTTTCTAATACAGACCAAAACCATTTTTTAAACTGATTAATACGTTCACTAGTTTCACCTAATAAAACAAAACAGATAATTTCTTTTCGAAAAAAATAATATTTATTTGAACATACCACTTTCATCATTAAATGTTGTATATGTCATTAATGTTGATACATTAATATTGCCTGTACCATTTAAAAGTAGTCGAAAATCTTCTGGACTTAAATATTCAAGTGACGTTGATGGTAATACATCAAACACACCCAAACGTAAATGCTAAATATAAAAAAATTATTTTATTTATTTTCAAATATTTTTATTTACTTGAAGAGATTGTTCAATAAGATTAATCATTCGAAATTCCGCATAGCGTTTGATAAAATCATAAAGATTAGAATATGTTACATCTTTGGATGAACCATCAGGAACAAGATCATATATTTCACTTCCCTAAATAAATAATTATCATATTAAAAATAATAAATAGCCAGTATTTTATCTAGGTTTCGTTTTTCTGATGGGCGGCGCGCACTCGCTGAGTAATTCTATTCACAATGATTTATCTATCCGATGATTCCCTGCCTTTGCTTTGAGTACGCCCTTGTGTGAAAGAAAAGAACTATACTCGAAATTTAGATCTAATCATCTATATTAAAATTGTATACAAACCTCTTTTTCTGTCACAGTCATTGAAAACGTTAAATGAAGGTCGTGAATATATTGTGGTCCATTTTTTTCTGCGTCATATGCAGTTCGCCGTAAATTTTCATACATAGTTGAATCAAAAAATGCTAAATCATGCCAACGTATGGGTCGATTTAAAATATATTTTATTACATGACGACATAAGGGTAATGGAAAAAGTTCATTTTGTAATAGACATAAACCAATTAATCTAAAAAAATTGAACGAAATATTTTATAAATTATTTCATGATTTTATCTTACCTTCCAACATTTCTATAAGCTGTTAAACGTTCAGGTGTATATTTTCCTGGTCTCGGAGCATAAACACCTTTTTTATCTGGTTGCCAAAATAATGGCGCATATTCATTCGGTTGTTTATCAAATAGAGAATTTTTATTTGTTAATAAACGTTCATTTGTTGTTGGATTCGTGGTTGTTGATTCATTTTGTTGTGTATCACGTGTACTATGTGATGTTAAAATATTCATAGCTTCTTCAACTTTAATTCTTAAATCTTCTTCAATATTAATAATACGTTGTAATTGTGGTGTTGGCAAACCTTCTAATAACATTCCAGTTATTTTTTCAGCATGAAATGGTTGTATAGCAGCAACTTTTGGATAAATACTAACACCTAATTTGATTTTACTTGGTGTCCAATGTTCATTTATATTTGATTCGGAAGAATTTATAATTGGTGTTGAGGAATCGGTTGATGATAATGTAAATTTAAATGGCCGAGCTTCAGATGAAAGTAACATTGATGATGAACGTCGATCACTACGTAAATATGTTGCTAGTGTTGTACGACGTTCACGTGATGGACGTTGTTGTCGTTGTGCATGTGATGAAGATAGAGAACTGGATGTTGATTGAGCCGCGGATGAAGCACCATATGTACCCAATTCAAGTACAGGTAATTTTTCTTCGGATAAAATTGCCTATTTAAAGAATGATTATGTTAATCCGAAATAACGTGAATAATTCTCCCTCTCTCTCTACTTACTTCAACAATTGATGAATAAAAACTTCTTGCAACTCCACTTCCCTCTCCCGGTTCATCTTTAAACGTCACTTTAACTCTCTGTACAGCTAATGGCGGTACAGATGATGATGAATTCATATTTTGATTTCGATAAAAATATGAATTTAATGTTCGAAATGTTTTTTGAATTAATAAAATTCGATCACGTTCCATCTAAATTAAAAAAATGTTAGATTAAAGTAAATACTTTATGCTTTTTTTACCGCTTCAAAACGAATATCTTTTTGATGAGCATTTTTAAGTCTTTCCATATCATGACGAAAACGTTGTTCTCGTGCTGAAAATCCACTTGATTCATTGATTATTGAACCAGGTTCATTTCCAACATCATCCAAAAATAATTTGACAAATAATTCCATTGAAAATCTCCAACGTGCTAATAAATATTCATATGAACCATTCAAGAGAATTGAATGTGATGTTTGTTGTCTAAATATAAAAATAAATTCAAATGAAAAAACAAATAAAGTCACTCACCTTTTTCGGATTGATGATGATGTTTTATCAGAGGAAATAAGTCCAGCACTTAAATCAAGGAGAACATCAACAGCCATACCTTAAAATATTAGAAAAACAATAAATAAGTTGATATTTTTATTGAAATTAATTTACGATCATCATCTCTTGTTTTTGTTTGACTTTTTTCTTCATTATTATTAAATAAATTTAAATAATTCGGTTGTAGAAAATCTGGTATCGATTGCTCACGATGTGATAAACCAAGTTGAGATGATAAATTTGAATATCTTGCCGCGGTTTGATCATATAAAAATCGTCCAAATAATTCTTCTTTTCGACATACTGGTTGTAATAATTGTGGACGACATGCCAATGGTAATGAATCATCAATTGTTATTTGAAATGGATCTGGTCCTAATGAACTTAAACATAAGGTCGAAGATGAACGTTGAAAAAATGAATTATTCGATGTTATAAGTTCTTCATTTGTTGAATTTTCATTCGACGAATTTATCGCTGCTGCTTCTTCAGTTATTTCTCTCCAATTACTTTTTGTTATTTGATTCGATTCATTAAAACCACTTTCACGAAAATAATAAATAAATGCATCAAGTAAATAAGCTAAATGTTTATAAGAGAAAACATCAAGTGATGGTTCTTGATCACCATGCTCATGAATAGAACGCATTAATGATAAGGAATAATTAAGAAAATCAAGACGATTATTAACAGGTTTATCTAAATGAATGAATAATTATTAAGAGAAGTAAATAAAAAGACTGTTTTTACCATTTATTGGTATATTAGTAGTACGATTTGTTGTTGTTGTTGATTTTTTCTTTGTTTCAATTTGTGCACGTTCAATTAGATTTTTAAGAAAACGATTTCCATGATATGTAGTATCAGTTTCATTATGTGTTAAATTACTTAATGTCATACCGAAACGTAATTGAGATTCAAATGAATCCATTACAGTTGCAAACCATTGCCATGTTGGAAATAGACATTGCTCAATTTCATTCTAAGAAACATATAGATATTAATAGAAAAAAATGAATTATTTAATCTAAATTTCTCGTACCTGTATAGTATCAAGAGCATTTTGTTCATCGGTTGTTGGCATATCATTATACAAAGATGAAGCTGATAATATTGATGGCCATCTTATAAGTAAATCAGTTATTTGTCGAATAATAATACCAAAAGCTCGAGCTAGTAAAGCATTAGTTGTATTAACGGAAATAACATTTGTTGGTTGAGATTGTTGTTGTTGAACATGAGATTGTTGCTGTTGAACTGATGTTGAATGATTTAAACTTGTTGATGTTGTTGCTACAGGTGCTATTTGACGTCGAGAATGACTATCACCAAATAATGTACCTAGATAAAAAAAATATATAGATATAAATATTCAGTATATATACAAATAAATAGACTACTTACTAGCCATTGTTGTTCGAGCATTTAATCTTGGTACATTAAGATGACTAGTTGCTGTTACTGTTGTTGAATTTGGTGTTTGTGTATTTGAACCAGTTGGATTATTTCCTGCTGGTAATAAAACTAATCGATCATTTGTCACTGTATTTGAAGTTGCTGAAGCATTTGTTGCAGGATTTGATGTTGTTGTTGATGATGCTGCAGCTGCTGCTAATGCATCTCTAGCATCATCAAAAATCATTGGTTCCGGTTGACTTGTTTCATCACCTTCACCTAAAACACTATCACTTCGAACACTATCTGCATCATCGGATTCGGAATTTTCATCATCAGAAAATAAAGCCATATTTTCACTTCCAGCTGTTGCTGATGTTCGATGTGTATTTGTATTTGGTGCACTACGATTACTTTCATTATCTGTATCTGATTCCGCAAGTAATTCTAATTCCATTTCACTTTCATTATCACTTAAACCACCCGCACTTTCACGTGTTGTTTGTTGTTCATTTAAATTTAAATTATTTATTGGATTTATTGTTTCATGTTGTGATTGTGTATCAGAATTATTATCATCATCTTCATTTAATTCAATTGTTGTTTGATTTAAATTTATTGGATTGATTAAATTTTGATTATCATCTAAATCTGTTTCATTTAATTCACCTAAATTCTGATACGTATTATCTGTTGTTGAACGTTGAAAATTATTTGTTTTATTTTCTTGATAAGCACGATAATATTCCGAATCAATATTAAATACTTCTTCAAGACCTTGTAATATATCTGTATGTGATGATAAAAGATTAAACATAGCTGTTGGTTTAGCTATACCATGACGTACAGGTGCTAATAATAAATCAGCTGTATGAACAAGCGCATTTATTGATATAAGTGTTAATATTTGAAATATACGTTTACATTGATATAAAATTGCTTGTGGACCATTAATTGTTGTTGATGATGATGATGATGATGATAAATTTGAACTTGTTGTTATTGTTGCACCAGTTACTGTTGTTGCTGATATACGTTTTATTGTTGTACCCGATGGTATTTGTTGATTTGATATTGAAGATGATTTATCGGGCACTGATTCAAGACTTAAAATAATAAATAAACGTATGACACTACGCACAAAACGTGCAGTAATAAAACGAGCCATATCACGATGTATTGGATTTGACATTTCACGTATTAATGTATTTAATAGAATATCTAATAATTCATTTGATGTTGTAAAAGAATTTTTTGATGCTGTAGAATTTGTTTGTTTAATTGTATTACATTTCGCAAGAAGAAAATAAGTAAAACGATCTAATTGACTTGTTTGTTGTTGATTATCTAATGAAAATAAATGTTCATTATCATATGTCGACATTATTGGCGGACACGTTGAAAGTATTGGTGATATTTCTCTGGGATTTATTATAGTTGGATCTATATCATCAGGACATCCACATAAAAGCATAGATTTTACTCCGAACCAATCAGCTAAAATAAGTTCCAATGCACGACGACAAAATTGTGGTGGTTCTAAATGATGATCAGGAATATTACTGTTCGTATCTAAATCAATTTGATTTGTTGAAGAATTATTATTATTATTTGTTGTTGATCCTGATGATGAATTTTGATGTTGTAATTTTTTTGTTCCACTACTTGTTGATGATGATGAATTTGTTAGTTGTTCACGCGATTTTCTTGCTTGTTGTTGTAAAATAGCTGCTGTTGATGTACGAGGAAATTGTTGTTGTTCAATAATTTGTCTTCCAACAGTTTGAACTAAATATAAAAGTATATTTTCATAACGTGAATTTTGTATTTGTACAAGATTAGTTTGATTTAATAATAATTTAAATAATTCTAAACGTTTTTGTTGATCACCAGCTATTAATGATTTACATTTACATACTTCCCAACAATCACAATAGGCTGTTGGTGATGTACGTTTTAAACGACAATCATGTCCTTTATGACATGTTTGAGCACATTCACTACAACAACATAATGTACCCGATAATCCACATGTTTTACATTCAAATATAGCTTGACTTATATGTTCTTCACCGGTCCATGTAAATGAACATGTATCATTTGTACATATTGTATATAATGGTGAATAATCGGAATTTGTTGATGTTAACGGATAAATCATTCGAAGTAAAAGATTATCAGATTGTGGTAGTTTGGAATCATTTGAAATTGATGATGATGGTGGTGGTGGTGATAATGATGATTCAAGATAAAATTGTATTGATGATGATGATGTTGTTTGAGAATCATTTAAAGATTCACGTTTAGATATTTTTATTGCATATTCAAATAAAATTAATGCACTATGATAGGCACGAGAATTAACAGCTGACATAAATGGTGTTTGACCTTCGAGATTACGAAAACTAAGTAAGGATAATAGATGTTCTTGAAATAATGGATAATCAAGTAATAAACGAAGAATTTTTATTGAACGAATACGTTTTTCACGTTCATCATATTTACATGATGACCAAATAGAAAAATCATTTGAATTTGCACGAGATGAACGTGTTGGCTGCTGCTGCTGCTGCTGCTGTTGTTGTTGTTGATATAATTGATTTTGTAGATATTGAATTTGTTGAATTTTTGATGATAAACTTGTTGGATTATATGAAGGAGATACTGAACCTGGATTTGTCGAAGGTGTGCCCGTTGATAAACTTCTATATAAATTCGATGCACTTCCTGGTAACATCGTTGGCGAAGAGGGTGGTTGTGCATCAGCATTTGATGATTCATTTGACCATGTGCTATTTGTTGTATTCGTATTTGTTGTTGTTGATGTAGTTGTTCGTTCTCCATAATTATGATCAGTATTACCTTGTGCATGTAATAAATCAATAGCAAATGATATACGTTTAAGATTATTATTCGTTTCATTTTGAATTTGTTCATCATTTATTGAATATTCTTTGTTATTCATTGGTGTTGCAATATGAACACATGCATGAAATAAATTTCGACAACCATCAATACGTTCATCTAAGATTAATTTTAATAAATCACGATTTTTGTTTATTTCAATATCATTTAATATTGAACGAATTTTATCAATATCATAACGAAGTATATGTGGTATTAAGATACCTTTTTGTATTTGCATTATATTTAATATAATATGATTTTTATTTAAATGATCAGCATTTTTTAATGGAACTATTCCTTGAGAAAAATAATTAATACCTAATAAATTTTTCCATTGTGGTTCTTTTAAATTTGTTCCATCTTGATTGTAAAGAAATGGATAAAATAAACGATTACCATCAATTAATACACGAGGTATATCAATTGAATTTAATGTTGATAAACATATAGAATTTAAATTTCCACCAAAAAATGATAATAATGATTGACGATTATTTACTAATGGTAAAATATTTTGACGAATTGAACGACATAAACCATTATTACTTCCAACTTCATACATTATATAATAAATAGTTGAATCACGAATTTGTAATGTATGTAGATCTAAGAAATAGAAAAATTTTGTGAATTGAATAGAAAATCAAAAATTTAACTTACAATCTTTATCAACAGAATATGTTAATAATTTTCCATGTTCTAATGCAATTCGTTTCGCATTATTTATTGATAAAGTACAATCAGGAGTTTTCGGTATTGTATTTCCTTTTACGATCTACATGAGAGAGAAAAAAACAAATATTATAACTCTATTAGAGCAAGTAACACTCGTCCGAGGACTCGCTTAGCTCTTTCTCGTAGAAATGCATCCTACTCAATGGTAAACGCGGGTCAAAACATATTTGAGCTGTCGACACCGGTGGCATGTCGAACTAGCCGTTAACGAATAAGTGAAGTATTAGCAATCTTATACGCAAGAAAGCCAGCGGTTTATGATTGCAACACTCTGCACTACAAGCAGGGGAACATTTGGATACCCATAAAAATACATTACTCAAAAACTCGTTTTCTATCAGTCAACACCGTTCCACCCTCTTCAGTAGTCTGACTAAATGACGCCCAAATTTCAATTCCCAGCATCGAAATACCTCAAGATATGTCTTTACCGAAAAGTTAGTCTTCGATGTTTTTTTAACCCTGCGGACACACAAGCAAACAATTTATTTCTGCTAGACTCTTCTCTACGAGAAAGAAACTAAAAAATTTAAAACTTACTTGTAAATCATCTTTTCGTAGGATTCTACAATTCTCCAGATTATTCATATCAAGATTTGTTTCGTTTATTTCATTCGTATTTTTTGATGGAAATTTAACAAGTACAAGTGGTCCATCAATTTTAACAACTTTTCCAATTGGTGCTACTTTACAATCTTCAATAAATACGACTTCATCCAATGGCCAATATTCTTCATCTTTGATTTTACTATGATGTTGTTGTAATTGTTGTTCATTAGAATCACTATCATTTATTGTCATAAGAAATGGATTTGATCCATTTCCACTTGCATTTGTTGTTGCTGGTGTTGTTGTTGTCGTTGTCGTTGTCGTGGTTGTTGCTGTATTATTATTATTATTATTATTACTATGTTTTTTACGTTTTAATGATGATGCAAAACTTGTATTTGAATCTACACTACATGTTGATGATGCTGGTGATGGCGGAGGTGGCATTTCTAATGAACTTTTATCATCTTCTTTATTTTTATTTGATGTTAATTCAGGAATTTTTATACGAAAACGTGCTGTATTCGACAGCATCCATGCTTGTTCCATTAATTGTCCTAATTTTGGTTGTCCATCACGTACATAAAACGCTAATGCACCTTGATTATAATATGGATTTGATATTAAACAAACTGATGAACCAATTGTTATTATTTGTTGTTGTTGCTGCTGTTGCTGTTGTTGTGTAGAATTATTTGTACGATTTTTACGTGTTTTTTCTTTTAAACGTTCAAGTAATTTTTTACGCGGTTTATTCGGTAATAAACCATACCAATACAAATCATTTGTATCAGTACGAATTATTGTAAATAATGGTGATGTTTGTATATCAATAATATGTAAAGGAATTGTTGTTGAAAGTTCTTGAATTGAATGTTGAAATTTAAAATTAACTTGTGAACCTAATGATTCATCAATCCATGTTGCTATACGATTTGTTTCAGTTAAAACTGATGCACGAATAATATTAGCTGATAAATGAATAATTTTTTCATTTAATAATTGTAATAAAAGTGTTTTCGGATGTTTTATATGTAAATTATCAGGATCTTGATATGGATAATCATCTTGCCAATTCCATTGACATAATTGACCATTGATATTAATAGCAATTAATTCAGAATAAAGACAAGCAATATGTGTAAAACGAGGATATGTATTTTCCGAATTTGTATCTGTCCAATATTGTAATTGATCACCGAATATAATTGGATTTTGTATTGCAGTTGATAATGATGCAGGTGCGGATATTTGTGGTTGATACATTGGAGGATTTGTTTGTGATGATGAATTTTGTTCTTTACGAATTGATGATGTTTTTGATGAATTATTATTATCTTTAACTATAGATAAATCATCTGGTTTTAATTCACGATCAATACGACCAAATAATTCTTCACGTAATGAACCATCAAGCCAACGTGGATCATAACGATTTCGTTTACGATCACGTTCAGTAGGATTTGTTGTTGTTGTTGATGATGGATTTGAATTTGTCGATGATGTTACAACTGTAGAAGAATTTGCTGTTGATGGAGGATTTGTTGAACTTGAATTCGTAACATTCGATTGATCACCTAATGTTGAATTTATAGCAGCTGAAGCGGATGATGCAACTGTTGGTGCAGATGTATTACTTGCAACATTTCCAATTCGAGCTGAAACTACTCGACGTTGTATATTACTATATCTTAAAGCAAAATCAGCTTCATCAAAAAATTCCGATTCAAGTATTATTCCTGGATGTTCATTATGTGGATTAACATCAAGTAAGGAAATAAGATCCGCTCCAACATAATCATCATCAAGATCTTCATCACCTTCATCATCACGTGCCAATAAATTATTCACAGCCATATTTACATCTAAATTCGTTCTTTGTAATTCTCTTAAAATAACATTTCTTGATTTTCCTTGAAGTACAACTTGAACTTGTTCAATTAATTCTTCGGGTACACTTGATGCGGGAATTAAAGGTCTTGAACCAAATATAATACCAGTTCGTCCTCGTGCTGTTCGAATAAGATGATGTCGTTGTCGACTTAATGGATAACCAGCTTGTAATTGTGGTAATAAATCGACTTGTCCACTTGGATTTGTATTTGTTGTATTCGCAACAGCAGCTGCAGCATTATGTGCAGCTATAGATGGATTTGGTGATGATAAAACAAGATTTTCAAAACTTGGACGATCAAAATTATTTAAACGATGTATTGGTTGACGTGTTTGAGGACGTGTTGTTTGTGGTGTTAAATGTTTTGGTTTACTTTTTGTTGTTTCTGTTGGTAATGGTTCAATTTTATCAGCTTGAACACGAAATGATACACGACATATTCGACCATCTTGAAGTAAAAAAGCAATATGTCGAGATGAAACTACTGCTTGTTGAACAACAAGATTTGTAAATGATGAAAATACACTTGGACATACACAACCATTTGTTGTTATTTGATCCGATATATCTTGAAGTCTATTAAATTAAAACAAAACAAAAGAATGTTGAATATAAGAAAACAAAATTTCTATTATTACTTTAATTCAAAATTTTGTTCTGTTATAGGTGTTTGTTGTATAAATACATGCGTTGAATATTCCATTAAATAATCTGAAAAAGAAAAATGATATTAATTTTGTTTGTTGTTTTGATTTTATTTATATATCTCTATAAATAGTTTGCATTTTTTCTTTACATATACAGGCACAAACAAACAAAAAAAATGTAATAATAAAGTGAAAATAGGTGTACAACATTTAACAAAGGATTGAAGATCTATCTATTTATATATATTTGGATTAATCAGAAAAAAGTTTGATATTAAGATCAAGTTCAAAATTATGAGATGTGAACATTTCATCATTATGTTCGGAAAATGACGTAAATGATCCACGTTCAAAAGTTGTCATTGTTGTAAAACTTTTGTCTGATGACTAAAATAAAAAAAAAGAGAATTATTTATTTTAAATGTATTTCTCAATTCAATGATAAGACATTATTCAGTCAGCGGGTAACACTCACTCTACTTGAAGTTCTGAAGATTTCATCAGAATGCAGCTGACTCCAAGTGGTCTGAAGTGAGCGAAGTCAGAAGTTGACTCAATTCTCAGCTGTTACCCTCTTGACAGTCTGCCTTTTTTATTTATGTCCATAAATACTCATACTTCTCCAAGCACAGACTGGAAGCAATTACCTTATTATATAAAGTCTAGTATACAGACACAACGTTATTCATATATACGACTATAGAGCTCATAAGAGTTTATTTATTATCCGTAATTCTTCAAAAACCCCGTCATATAACTATTATGTATAAGTAGTATTCTTAAAATTTATTTCGTAACTATTTTAATGATGCTAAATAAAATTCATATAATCATAACAAAAAAACCCAGTGGAGAATTTCGAAATTTCCTGTTTTTTTTTTACCGTTTTATCTGTTGTCAATTCTTCTTTGGTCATTGTTGTTGTAATTGTCGTAGATTTATTTTTATCAGACTAATATGCATATAAAATAATTGAAATAATTTCTTTACGAAAAAATTCTTTTACTAATAATTGTTGATCATCAAGTTTTTTCTTTGCTTCGGCTTCAGCTGCACGACGTTCTTGATGTAACTCTCGTAACAATTCTTCTTTATTGTTTAATGACGGAGCCTAATGATATAGATATTTTTAAATTGTTGATCTTATTTCTTTAAAAAAAAAATAATATTTTCATACTTTCATTACAAGTGTAGGTGCACAACGACGACGTGTAAATGGATCGGCAGTTTTATTTTGAGGGTCTTGAGCGTCACGCTATATAAAATGATAATTTTGCAATTAATTATTGCACAATAGTTTACATACAGATAAAGCCATTTCAATATTTTTCTGTGTACTTTCACGATTTCTTCGATTAATTTCACTGAAAAGAAAGTTTAAGATAAAAATGTTTGTATTAGTTTTTTACAAAAAAAAAGTTTATTCAAGAAAATTCTCGCGCAATAGTGTTTAATTTTTCTTTCCCAACAGCATGATGAATCATTCGAATAAATGTCGTCATTCTTGTAGGTTTTAATATTGAAGTTATTGTTAAATTATGTAGAAATTCTTTTCCTATATAAGAATTCCATAGATGACATGCATAATTATTTTTAAAATTATATTTATTATATAAATATAATTCACCAATATGAGACCAAGATGGTGTGAAAAAAGCTTTCGATGGTAAAACATAAACTTCATTTTGATATATATTCGCTAGTTGTCCTGTTAGAAATACTGAATGACAAGCCCAACATGATGAATTAAAACTTTGATAGGATTGATAAATACGTCGAAGAAATTTCGAATGTATTGGTGCAATAATAACAGCATTACATATTGTATTGTATTGTTTATCTTCCCAAGCAAATATAGCTTCAACTTGATATGAATTTGATATCAATTTTGAAAATGATTTAAGAACAAGAACATCAAGATCAAGATAAATTCCACCATATTTATCAAGAGTTTCTAAACGTGCAATATCACTACGATGTGCATGATGATGCAATGGATGATTATAAATTGATGTTATTGGAGGAATTTTTACAAGTGTTAAATTTAGTTGACGATCTTGTTTAGCTTTTAACCACCAATAGCCAGTTGGTTCGAATGAATAATGAAGATATATTTGTTTTGGTTTGATTTGTTGACGAGCAGAAAGAAGAACAAGATAATTTATTAAATGAAATTCACCAGATGCTCGTTCCAATCGACGATAACCAAGATGTGGACCAAATTGATCAAGAATTGATTCTGATGCATCACCTTGTCCCGTGATAAAATGTACAATATTTGGTATTTCATATGTTCCGAATGATTCATCGTTGGATAAAATTCGTTGGCAATTATTATTACAATGAAAAATAATCCATAAAGACGAAAAAACGATGAATAATACACATGTATAACGATAAATGTATCGATAACGCATATGTTTACTGAACATTGATGTCCGACTGGATTGCATCTGTCGACCTTTCATACCTTTCTTTTTTTTTCCTTTCTTATTGACCTCATTTTTTTTTCTTCTTTCTTCACTAGTTCTGTTCTCTTTCTTTCTTTCTCTCTCTCTCTCGTTCTATTGTATACGTTTTACTTACGCCATGACAGAGATATTCTCTGATCTTTTACGATCAAGTTCAGAGGCTCTTTCTTCCATTTCAGTAAGTTGTTTTCTTAATTCACCTTCTCTTTCAATATCATTTTCATCTTTTGCCATTTCCTAGAAAAAGTAAGTCTTACAAAAAATTTTAAATTAGAAAATCTTCATACTATTTCTTTAAGTAAATCATTTTTTGACATCGCATAATTTGTTGGTGCTTTACGAAATCGTTTTTTTTCTTGAACTATTTTTGTTATATCATTATTACTTAAAACATAATGTTTACATTTTTCAATTTCTTTCATTTTTTTGTCAATATCATCAAGTGTTGGTAATGAAATACCCTTTAGAAATAAAACAATGATTATTAAATATTTTATATTGATTTTTTTTATTCTTTACTTGTCGAATCATAGCTTCTCTCCATCGTTGAAATTCATTATCGGATATTTCATTATTTGACACATATTCTAATCGAAAGACACGTTCATTATTGCCATGTCTATAGAAGAAAAACAATTTGATATAAATTCAATGAATATTTTCTTTTCATACTTTAAACGAAGACCTTTATTAGTACGTGTTGAACCGAGATTATAAATTTTTCCTGTTTCAACAACATCACTTATTTCACAAACCTTAAACAAAAGATTCTTTTCAATTAGAATATTGATAAACAAAATAATTTACTCGATAAACAGGTTCACCATTATTTTGACCAATATTAATACGAACAAATGAACCTTTTGCTACATCACTAAAAAATGGTGAATGACACCATCTATCAAAAAAATTAATACGAATAAAATCATATGATTAGAAATAGGAGAATTTACTTTTCCATACGAAAACGAGATAATATCATAGATTTTAATTGATCTTTCGTTGTTATAGGTGTACATCGTTTTCGTTTGGAATCATGATCACGAGAATCGAGCGTTCGATCATCAGGTGAACTGAAATAGATTATTAATATTGAAGGATAAAAAAATATTTTGTTTTACCGTGATCGAGCACGACGATTATCACGACTATCATCATCGTCGTCGTCATCATCTTCACTAGATGTTTGATAAACGTCAGTTACTTTCCATTTTTCATCTTTTTCATTTGTTTTGGAGCTTTTGTCAGGATTATCTTCATCACTTGAAGAAGCATCTTCGGGTTTTATAGATGTCTTTTTGATTCTTTCATCTAAGCAAAAATCATAGTTTTAATTTTAAACTTTATCTATGAAAAGAATTGTGTCGTTTTCAAGATATTAAAAAACAAACGACAATTGTAAAGCTTATTACTCCGTTCAAAACTCTCGATTGGTAATATAATAGTTTTACCTTGTTTCTTTTTTCTTCCTTCAACTAATAATTGAAGTGATTTACTATGTTCAGTTTCTTTTTGTTTCGTAGCATTGATTTGTTTTCTTCTATTTGTTGATGATGGAAAATCATCATCATCATCTTCAGCATATATATCATTATCATATAAATTTGATTTACGTATAGAAGTTTTATTTGACTTGTCATTATCACTGTCATCATCTTGATCATCAATTTCACCTTCTTCTTCACTTTTTATTCCGGATTCTTCAGCTTTAGATTTAAGTCTTTTATTGATTTCCTCACTAAAAAACACAAAACAAAACGATACACAGATATTTATTTGTTTATAAAAGAAAAAACTATTTGAAAAATCTTACCGACGTTTGATTATTTCTCGTTGTTCATGTCTTTTTAATAATTCAGCTTCACGTTCACGTTCAGACAGAGTTTTCAACCATGCTCGATCATTAGCATCACCACGATAATTTTCATCATAACCATCAGTAAATATATCTTTAATCAAGAATTAAAATAAATCATAAGATTTCGCGAAAAAACAAAAATCATTGAATTACTTTTTGAACGTGATGAGTCGGAATCTGAATCTGAATCACTGTTACCACTTGTTGTTCGTTGACGTTTACGTATATCTGATTTGCTCATTGTCTACAATTAGAATATCAATATGAGAATGAGAAAACACAAAACAATCGATGTACCCTTCTGCCCCCTTGTTATTCTTTCTCAACTTTTCTATTCAACTTAACTGTATCGAAGTTCACCAATCAGATTATTCATGACAGATGCCGCTGGAAAATCAATTTATATTGAACACTAAACAACAATAGAATGTTACTTATCATTATCGTTCAATACAATTTATCCTAACACAGAGATTAGTTTTATAATTTGAAATAAACAAGCTTTTTTCTTCTTCTCTTATTATCATAGAATTTCGATTAGAAATTGTGTAGATTTATGAAATGATATATATATATATATGAATAGTAATCAATCTAAAAAAAATATGAAAATATCACCGATTCTATCAGTCTGCTACTGAATCTCTTGATATGCAATTAAATCTCGAATGCATCATTCACTAACTTGGTCAAGCATCATTATGATGACGGGTAGAGTCGATAAACGTATGAGAGAAACCTTTGATAAATGATGTTACACACACTCTCGTATATGGAGAAGCTATTATTATTGAGTCTGACGCGTATTTATCAGCGTCATTGTTACTTGTCTAATGAACAGCGAGAGAGAGAGAGAGAAGGTAATTCAAAAACAATATTACTCATACTTCATTATACATGTCTTTTATTCTTTGTATTGCTTTTTGTTTCATCAATCATATACAATTTAATAGTATCTATCCGAAGATTTTTTTTCTCGTTTATATTTACTTTAAACTGAATTTCTCAAAGAATTATTTAATATTTTCTATTTGTCAGAAATGGAAAGAATGATAAATGTAATAATTTCACACATCATTGAACTTTATAGATGAATTATTTTTAATCTAAAATAACCGAGCAAACTCAAAATATACACTAGCTTGAATTCATATATTCACTAATAGTTTCATTAGATTGACATTTTTATCATAGATATAGCTATTATTACTTATTGTAATGAAAATTGAATACCATATGGAGAAATAAATCTTTCTATTAAGTCGATTCAATCCCAACAGACTTTATCATAAGAAATTAATTCAACATATGCTTTCGAAAAAAAAAAGACACACACAATATACCAGTGGCGGATTTAGGGGGGCGGTCAGCCCCATCGCCCCCCAACCCTTCCAAATTTTTTTACAGCAAAAATGAACGAAAAAATAGCTTTTGGCCAGAATCGCTCCCCCCCCTCCCCTTTCCAAAATCCTAGATCCGCCCCTGCGATATACCATATTCTTTTCTTATCGTTCAATAAAATAACTATAATTTTTTATCTTTTTTTTTGATTTATTAAATATCATTCAAATATCTTTAAATACACACAACACAACAATATTCTCATTCTCCATCATAGACATTTTGAGCAAGAAAAAAAAAAGACAGAAGAAACAATTCACACTAAACATTTTCTATACTAACAAACAAAAAAATGAATAATCATTAAGCCTAATCTATATATATATACACACACATGAACGTAAACTGAATTAGAAAATATTTATGAGAAAATAAGCCAAATGATTAATAAACACATCAAAACACTATAATACACATAAAATTCCGCTTAATTAATATTCACAACACAAATACAAGAAGAAAATGTGTATGTGTAAAAACTTTTCTTTTTATCATATTCAATGTTTGACAACTGTTGGTAGACTACGTTTAACAAACATACGACGATCATGATGTGCCCAAACCGTTCTATTAAATAAAATTAGATTAAATTTTAAAAGAATTCTTTTTTTTTTTACCGATAAAGAAAACCAGCAACAATAGCTCCAACAAGTGGGCCAATCCAATAAACATAATGATGCTTCCATACTTCACTAAATATAGCTGGGCCAAGTGAACGAGCTGGATTAAGTGAACCACCAGTATATGCTCCACTAATAAAAACGAACATTTTTTTTTCTAAAAAATTTTCTTTTTGTCGACTTACATAGCAAGAATATTAACTGCTAAAGTAAATCCGATTAAAACAGGTGCAAGTCCAGTTTTTGATTTTGTATCAAGTGCAACCATAAGAATAACTGTGACAAGTACAAATGTAACAATAGCTTCAATTAAAATTCCCTTGGAAATAAAAATAAGATTAGTTTTTTTGGTTATTCAATTATTCATCGTTAATAACATACTTGCCAAACTCGTACATAATCTTCTACAACATACTGAATTTGTCCAGAACTATTTGTTTTAGTATATGCGTCATATACTTTTAGAAATGTTGCTCCACCTTGACACTCGTTAAAACGTCTTGATGCAAGTAATAAACGTAAAAGACCAGCAGCAGCAATGCCTATTAAAAATATTTTTTTTCAATAAAATTCTACTTTAAATAAATCATCAAAATTTTTTACCTCCTAAAAGTTGCATGACAACATAAAGTATTGCCATAACGGCTTGCATTTCGCCAGCAATTAAAACTCCAATTGTAACAGATGGATTAAAATGAACACCTGATATATGACCAAAACTAGCTGCTAATACCATTAAAGCAAGACCAAATGATAATGCAGCAGCAATAACACCACCTTCTGAACAAGCTCCCCATAAACCAATAAGTACAAATAATGCTGTACCAATCTAATAAAATATAATTAAATCAATAGATCTTTTTTTCTGTTCAAAAACAAATATGTTTGTTTTACATACAAGTTCAACTAATAATGGTCGAATAACTTGAATAAATTTATTATTGTCCTCAGGTATAATATTAAGATCGACATGTCTAAATAATAGATGTTATTATTTTACGATCAAGTATTATGTATATTATATATGCAAGAAAGAAGATATATTTACTTTTTAACTACAGTTGTAGTTTCGGTTACAATCGGTATTGGAGCAACCGGATTTGAATGAATGACCTCTTCGGTCGACGATAACATTGGAAGGCGTTCACTAAGTTGAACTTCTGTGGTCGACATGTTATTATTATTTTTTCAGATAGAGGGAAACGGAGTGAATATGTATGTATGTATGTGTCTGTGTGTGCGAGCGTGTGTCCGCTTTGCGGTCGATACTGAACTAGTAAAGAGAAAGAAGGAAAAAAAAAAATCGTCGAACAACGAGAGATACTTTTGGAAAAGAAAAGAGAGAAGATGAGAAGACAAGAGAGGGAGAGAGGGAGAGAGAGAGAAGAAAAAAAAACTAAACAGACAGAAAGAATAATTAAGAAACATATAAAAAAAAAAGGCGAAAGGGAAAGAAAAAGAAATAGTAGAGGTGAACTCGGTTAGGACGACACTCCAATCAGGAATTAGTGCGGTGAGACTCATTACAACAGGTTTTCTTTCTCTTTCTTTTTTTTCCGCAAGTAAAAGCTTCCATCTCGCTGCTCTCATTATTCATACGTTGTTCGGTCAAGATTATGATAAAGAAAAAAAAAAAAAAAAATTAAATATGTGTTAAACACAACTGTAAAAAAAAGAGAGCGAGAGAGGGAAGAAGAAAAGACAAAGAAGTAACTATGACAATTGGTTAGAAGTAGTATCTGTCTTCCTGTTAAAAAATTTACATTATGAACTATGATGATGATGATTGTTAAAAATATGTCTGGCGTTTAGCCAACATGTCAAATGATATGTAAATGAAGCGAGAATTTAGCATAGATGAAACATCTGCGCTCTAATTATCATTGAAATCTCAATGAAATGAATAAACATTTAGGCACAGCATCAATTGATCGTCTAACTGCACTGAATAATCATCTATCTCATTTTGCTTCAAAGTGTTTCTTCCTCTTTGAACACAGATACATTATTCTTCCTTTTACAAACGGAGGTCATCATCATCATCATATACAGACAAATATTGACATTGGATGTATGTTTTTGTTGCCTATCGAATACTATCATGAATAAGAACATGACCGATGGTACTATCTACTTTAATTGGTAAAAAAGGAGAGAAAAAAAATTGATCTTCGTTCTCTTTTTCGCCTCCGTTTTCTTTTTTTTTGATGATCGACTCTATCAAAACATACTATATGATTGATGAGATGAATAAGTAATTACTCTGTTATTATACATATACATTGAAAAATAGTATCAACGATTAAACATCTAATAATTCCAATAATGATCATGTCTCATTTCAACATTTTTATTATAAATTTAGTCACGTCAAAAAAACTTACTTGAGAAAAATATTCTTTTCTTTAATAAATGCTATTTCATCAGGCGATGTTGTTAAATAATCTTTATGTTCACTTGTTTGTCGAGTCATTTGTATGACTAATCGATAATCAATATTAATTGCACAATTAAATGATCTATAATTAGGGTAAAATTAAGAGCAGAAAAAGGACAATAGGAGATGAGATGATAAAACAAAAGCTACTTGTATCTACTAAGAGAGTGAGGGAAAAAAAAGAAGAACAGATGGTATTGATGAAAGACAAAACAATGAGTGATGATTAAGAATAACTATGATAGGGATAAATCAGATATCTTATTTTATTCAACACTATATATATAGAGACGAGACGCGACGGACGTAGAATGCATATGATTACTTACTTGATGATGCTTTGCTACCGTCTTTTTTTTCTATTATACTAAATTCTTTGTCTGATAAAATTAGAATAGAAACGGCAATACAGACATGTATATATTTATGGACTGTATATCCTTTCGATTATATATTCATTCCAAGATTATTCTATAGATACGAATATTTATTATATGTAATCATTCTATTCCTTCTAACCTTCTATGGTGTCAACAAGTTAACACAGTAGATAGGAGAGAATATAAAGAAAAACGATCGTATTAAGTATACATATTTGTGTTCAAAAATATCTGCATGCTTAGCTATTTATACTGATTGACCTTCTGTTCTCCTTCGAAGCTTAGATAAAAGGCAGATAATTGCTTTTGAATACATATCCACACCGAACAATATGTGAATGTTCACTTAAGTTTCTTTTTGTATGTATAAAGAACAAAAGAATGAGATCGAATAACCAGATATTGAATTAGTCATATTTTATTTATCTAAGTCTTTCTTTTATACATATTAACAAATGACAAAAAAATATATAAACGTAGAAGAACGTTATGCATGATTAAATATATATAAATCAAACAGTACGATTATTTTCGTATTTACGCATATATTTGCCATCGTCGTACTCATGATTGAAGTGTTTTTAGTAAAGATTATCTTTTTTTGTTATTTGTTTCAAGCGGTTGCCGCAGATGTAGGCGATAGTTATGATACAACATGTGTATGTGCAGAAACTTCACCTAATGGTGCATTTTGTTCGGCATTCAAATGCCAGTCAAATCAAATTACACACTGTTTTTCAAGTAATTCAACTGTAGAAATTAAATCGACAAAAGAATATAAATCAATGAATGAACTTAAAATAGGTGATGAAATACTTGTAAATATTAATAAACATGGTCAACGTATATATGAACCTATCTATTCATTTATTCATGCAAATCCTAATGGAACATATGAATATTTAAAAATTTCAGTTGAAAATAATTTACAACGATCATTAATTATTTCAAGTAATCATCTTATCTATCGTTATAATGGAATAAATCCTATTTTTGCTGGACATTTAAAAATTGGTGATCAATTACAAGTTATTTCGAATGATGGATCGTCTATACAAGCTGGATCTATTATAAATATAAAACTTATTAAAAGTCAAGGTTATTATGCGCCATTAACACCATGTGGAAGATTAATCGTAGATGGAATTATTGTGTCAAATTATGCAACAGTAGCTAATCATCAACTTGCTCATTTAGCAATGCAACCTTATCGATGGTGGGTTCAATGGATAGGATCATCTTCATATTCTGAATCGATTCATTTCTATTGTCAATGTTTGTATTTTATTGTTGAATATATAAACAAATGGTTTTTTCCCATAGGATTGTATGATGGAGTTTTAACAATAACAAACTTCTGATATTATACTTTTTTATTTTTGACAAATAAATACGTTATTTTTATGATGTACATTGATCTATTTTAGGTAGATAACTTAAAAGTTTATTATTATCATTATCAGCAACGTATAAATCAAATTTTTTTGCTAATACAATCTCATTTAGTCCAGTAGTTATTGTCAAGTTGTATAATAATTTCGTTCCATATATATCAAATATCTTAATACCATAGCCATTAATTGCAACCCATAATCGACCACATGCATCCATTGTTGATTGAAAGTTATTGGTCGTAATGTCACTTTTTGTTAATGGCATAGTTCCCCATATCCAGCTATTTGTGGTACTATTATATGCCAGTGTATAGATTGGACCGTAATTAACACCAGTTGACATATAAAATAATGTATCACTGACGCGATATAAAGTATTTGGTGCTGCAGGTGCTGATAATGAAAATGAAAGTGTATATGATGTTGGTGAAGTTACATTGTAAAAGGAAATGAGTAGTAATGTTTGAATAGGTACTACCATGATAGAACCATTTTGAATAAATACATAATCTCGAGGATCTTTTTGAATAGGGACAGTTAACGTGTTTAGCATTGTAGCTGTTGAATAGATCACCAAATTAGACAAATGACTTACACCTTTCGCTAAAATAAAGATAGTTGAATAGTTAAAAAAAACGTTGAATATACTCACTAATGTAATATTGTTTGTTATAGTAACTTAGTGCCATAGTTTGAGAACCGATGGCTGTTGATGATATCAATGTCATCGTTGTTCGATTGTAACGATTTAATGTATAAGAATTATAGAGAACTGCTAAATAATCATAATCATCAATAACTAAATAACTAGGTGTATTAAGACTGATTG